CCAGAGGGTTGATGCTCTTGTCAGACAGATCGTAATCAGTGGAGGCATTGTTTTTGATCAGTTTGCCATCTTTGATAAGGTAGCCCTGGCCAATCTTGTAGATCTATAAAGAGAAGAGCATTTGAATAAAAGCTCCTGAAGAAGTGGAAGATTGGGCATGGGGGAGAGAAGCCCAGAGGCCTGCTCAGCGCAAATAGAAGGGGCAAAGCATCGACCTTCTGTTACTGCAGTAACATGCGGGAGACGTGCCTCACCTTCTTGTTGATCTCAGTGCGGTGGTGGTAACCCTTCTGCCCAGCACGCGCCACAGAGAAGGCCACGCGGGCAGGGTGCCAGGCCCCAATACAGGCAACTTTGCGCAGGCCTCGGTGGGTCTTGCGGGGTAGCTTCTTGGTGTGCCAGCGGCTGGTGACTCCTGGAATGGACACAACTTGCTGTTATGGTGGGAAGGAGGGCAGCCCTTCCTGTCACCCAGTTTGAGGTACTAGCAGAGAAGACACAAGCAGAGGTGGACCCCCAGAGTCAGGACAGACAGGACACTCCACAGATTGGTGGCAGAGGCATCTGTACCTAACAGCTTAACTTTCTCCCAAATGCACAGAAACCCACCCTTCAAATTCATTTGCAGTAGCTGCAGATGTTCCTACCCTGACCCAGGGCTGTTCTCAGAAGGAAGGCAGCAAGGAATGTTTCCGCAGTTTGACTCGGGCGCTGTGCCCAGCGCTCATTCCAGAGCCTCATCAATGAACAGCCAAGGGGACTGAGACCACTCCCCAAGGGCGACCAGAACAACTCACCTTTGTAGCCCTTGCCCTTGGTCACCCCGATGACATCAATCATCTCATCCTGCCCGAACACCTGGTTCACAGGCACCTGCTGCTCCAGCTTCTCCCGGGCCCAGTCCAGTTTCTCGGCCACTGTGCCCCCATTCACCTGAATCTCCATCAGGTGGGCCTTCTTCTGGCGCAGAGGAAGCAGGCGCATCTGCAGGACAGAGGTCACTGAGCTCCCCTCTCTGCTGTCAGAGGGGGCCTGGGGCAGGGGGTCTGTTATTGCCCTGGACTTCCCTCCACATTTCAGTAAACCGAGGGACCTTCCTGATTCCCACCATGCTAACTCCCACAATGGAATTCTGGTCCCTGCTCAGGGGGACACCTGGGGGCCCCATGGCAGCACAAGACTGGACCAGATCCTGGGATCAACTCTATCTTCCTTTCAGCCAGCTCCTTCCTGTCAGTTCTGATTCAGTCACCCTGATAGGGGTTTCCATGAAGCAGCTGGTAGGTTCGAACCACCAACCTTGCAATTAGTAATCAGTGTATTCTATAGTGTTACACAGCCTTATGTGTCCTGGTGTGGCACTGTGGGTTAATGCACCAGACTGCAAAGCCATTTGAACTGCAGGGCCGGTGGTTCAAGCTCACCAGTCACTCCTCAGAAACCCTATACAGGGTCAACTATGGGTCAGAACCGACTCAGTGGCACTTAACACGGCCTTATAGAAAACCACCTATTCTCGCAAGCTTCTTAGGCTGATCACAAAGCTAAACGAGGAAATTAAGTCAGGCATGAAGCACTCAAAAGCTGTCCACTGGGAACTTCAGTGGCAGCAATCTGCTGTTAGCCACCACACTGGGCAGCCCAGGCTAGAGGGCAGCAGTGTGTAGGAGCCGGGGCAGGCACCCACAGGCTGGGCTTGCAGCCTCCCTCTCACCAGCTATCTGGTCGCCATTTTACAAGGTTGTCACCATGAACAGTTTCTCTCAAAGGGGGAATGGTGCCCCCTGCTGGCAGGAGAAAAGCACCAAGTAGAGAGGGGAATCCAGGCATCTGATTGGTCATGGTGTCAGCTCTGTGCACACTGACCTCTCCTCTACCAGGCCTTGCACAAAGTTGCTCCACCAGGTGAGTGAGGTGTCGCAGTGCCATGAGGGGCTCACCTGGGTGTGGGCGATGACACGGATGACCTGGCAATACTTCTTCATGCTGCTGAAGTCTTTCTCCAACTGCTTCTTGCCATCGTCGTCCTGCCACTTCTTGCAGTACTTGGTGAAAGCCTTCTTCTTCGATTTATGCCTTCAGGAGCAGAGCAGAGTTGGGGCGGGGGCCGGGCACCAGCCTTCATCACCCCTCCAAGAAGGGGTGAGCGGAAGGCACACTGGCACCAGGAGGGGATGGGGCTCATTGCCAGCTTCTAAGGAGCCTTTTCCACTGGCAAGCGGAGCCTGGATGGAGCTCATCGGGCCAAGCCGAGCGGAGCTGAACAGAGGTCCACAGGTTAATGAAAAGCAGGACATTCAGACACCTATTCCTGCTCCAGTGCAGCTACTAACCAAGTGCTATAGAATGCGCCATGCAATTCCATGGGTGGAGGGGGCGGCAAAATTCAAACTGGTCTTGGTCAGACCCCATCTTTCGGCAATAAAGCCAGGAGCAGCTGCCCTAGTTCCTCACCTGGTTTCCAATCACACAAACTTTCCCAATAACCAAAATGGTGGTGTAAAAATCCTCAACCCTGACCAGTCCAGCACCCACCAGATAAGGGTCAGTGCCATGGCCAGTTCAGGAATCCAACAGGCCGGCCCCAAAGTACACCTAGACCGCCCCAGGACCCGCCTGTCTGACCTGAAGTCTCTCCCCTTACCAGTTCTTATAGAAGCGCCGTTTACATTCATCACTGATGTGCTCAGCAAAGACAGTCTTGAAGGTCCGGAGACCTCGAGGAGTTTCCACGTAGCCCACGATGCCGACCACCACCATGGGTGGTGTCTCCACAATGGTCACAGCCTCCACCACTTCCTTCTTGTTCACCTCTGCAAAGAAAGACACAACTGCCAGTCCACTGCAAGGGCCGCAACCTGTGTCTAAACACACAGGACTGCAGGAGGGCTGGCCTTGTAATCCAGCACCCAGCCACAATACCAGTCTACTCTACATACCACCTCCCACCTTCACTTCCGATTACTACCTAGACCAAACAGCTAAGGGGGTCAGAGGGCCACTTAGACGTCTCAGCCCCTGGTTGGTGCACTGGGGCCAAAAGAAGTTCCAGCCCACCCAGTCACTTCAGAAGGCAGGCCTTGAAGCCCTCCCATACAGTGTAATGTGAATTTTCCATGGGGTCACATATTGGGAGACAACGCTATGGCAACCACGTTCTACCACACCTTAGGTGGTGGTGGTGGCTGTGTGCCGTGGGGTCGGTTTCTGAGGCTGTAAATCTTTACAGGAGCAGAATGGCCTCATCTTTCTCCCGCATAACAGCTGGTAGTTTCCAAGTGCTGACATTGCGGTTCACAGCCCCATTCGTGCATCACTACGCTACCAGAGCTCCTTACACCTTATAGTCGTGTTTATTTGCCTACTGAATTTCTCCCCATCAGGAAGCCAATAAGGAAATTAGCTGTGTTGTTGCCAACACCTGACACAGACAAGCCAGTACTGGTGTGGCACTCTAGGATCACCACTTAACTGAGAACCAAAAGGCCGGCAGTTAAAACCCACCAGCTGCTCCTCGGAAACCCTACATACACAAGGTGGCTGTTATAACTGACCCCATGGCACTAAATCGCAAAGCTAGATGCACTCCCTTAAGTTTGTCAGCGCTAAAAGCATGTTCCTGAAAAAGCTTCTACCCTCACTTGTCCCCAACACGAAAGCACGGAGGTGCACGTACTGGACCCTGGCCTGTCGACCTCGCGCACGATGTGGGTCATGCCGGCCTTGTAGCCCAGGAAGGCTGTAAGGTGGACAGGCTTGGAGGCGTCATCC